AACTTTGCTGAAAGTCGGGCATGGCCAACGCTACTCACTTGCCAGAGGTACTTGGCTTGCTCAGGAGGACAGTGCAGGCTACGATCGACGCCAAGACGATTGCGCCCGGCCTGAAGTATGGCATTTGCATCCTGATTGTAGACCTTCTTTAGCGAGAGATGGCAGTACTGCAGGGGACATCTCTGGCCGTCCTTCTTAATGACTGACACATCAGCATCGTGTGGTCAGTGGACATGCACTTATAGAGAGCCCTTTATTGGTGCGGCGTGACCATTTGGCATGTGCAGCCGCTGAACTCACAGGTGCACTTGAGCTTGTCAGAGGCGCATATGGCACGATGCTGGTGGCACAGAGGCGACTCTCCCACCTTTGACACCACCTTTACGTTAGAAGCATCCCCACCCAGCTTGGGCTTCTTATTAGACGCGCTGTTGGGCCCGGATCCAATGAGGACGTTCTCTACTCCCACTTTCGGGCCGTTAGGGGAAGAATTGGGGCGCTTCGAAGAGGTGGGAGGAGGTGATGGCGTGTCCATCAGGTCAATGACGTTGCCGTTTTCTTCGGATCGCGCCATGTTGGATCGATGACGAAATGCGACGCTGTCTGACCAAGCAATCCTGGCTGACTCAGCCGAAGCTGCCGGGAAGAGGTGGATCGTGAAGTCACGAATGGCGTGCGCTGCACCGGTGGTTTGAAGGATGGGTTGCAGATTAAGCAGCTGCTGCATAGTCACGATCGAGTGTAAGCCACTCACACTCTTTTGACAGACGCGCTCATCTACGCGACAAGCGGCGCACGCGTATCAACGCGTGGTGTTGCGTTCGCACTTGCATACAGTCGTGAGTACAGCAGGCAACCCCAAAGGCGCACCGATCTGCGCCACGTGGTGCTGCCGTGATGCCACCCGTGCCGGCCCTCGCGCGCTGATGCGATGCGATGCGCCTCTCCACTTTGCGCGCACTTCGTGACTCGGCAACTTGCGTTTGGGACGTTCGACTAAGAAGAAGTCACCACAGCCCACCACTCCACGCGGAGCCGATCTGAAGCATCATCTTCTGCGAAACTGACGACGCGAAATCGTGCTCCACCTTCAGACTCCTGACCCGCTGTCAACAGCCAAATACAGCTTGACCCAAGCCGCGATTCAACAACATGTCCAGTCAGCACCGTCAACAACTGTACCTGAGATGCGAGATGAAGCCGCATGAGCATCGCGCTGCTCTCACACCCACCACGGCGCGCAAGCTCATCGACGCTGGCTTCGACATTACAGTGGAGAGAGACCCACAGCGCATCTTTGAGGATGAGGAGTACGAAAGGTGAGGAGCATGGCGAAGCAGACGTCAATCGCAACATTCTCTCGCACGCGACGGACACATCTGATTGCGCGAGCTGTCCCTCTTGCTGCCTCGCTTCAGGGTGGGCTGCAAGCTCTCCCCTCACAACACGTGGGCAGATCAACCTTCCAACATCCTGATCATTGGTCTCAAAGAGCTGCCAGCCCCTGGTCCTCCCCTCCCCCATACCCACATCCAGTTTGCCCACTGCTACAAGCACCAAGGAGGCTGGGTCGATGTGTTGAGTCGCTTCAAAAAGGGCGCCGGAAAGCTGTACGATTTGGAGTTCCTCGAAGATTTGAATGGGAGGAGAGTCGCTGCTTTCGGATGGCATGCTGGATTCGCTGGAGCTGCTCTTGGCGTATTGGCGCTCAGTGAGCAGCTCAAGGATCCCAAGAAGAGGCTGGGCAAGCAGACTCGATATCCCAACGAGGCCGAACTCATTTCCCACTCCAAGAAGGAGGTCGATCTCATCAAAAGCAAGCGCAGCGACGGCAAGGTCAAAGCGCTGGTCGTTGGCGCTCTTGGTCGCTGCGGTCGAGGAGCCATCGACTTTTTGGAAAAGGCGGGAGTCGCCTCGTGAGTTCAGTGTCTAATCCCCGGAATCTGGGCTCGTAAGTGACCATGTACGCTGCTGATTTGATCGAACAGCGAAGATATCGTCCGGTGGGATATTCAGGAGACTAGCGCAAAGTCTGGGCCCTACCAAGAGTTACTGGATGGTGAGTAGCATTGCACACCACCTGCTGCTGTACGAAAGCCCACTCATCCTTACACGCCCCATCCCGAAGTCGACATCTTCGTAAACTGCATCTATCTCAACAAGAAGATTCCACCTTTCTTGACGAGCGAGTTCATCGAGAGTGCAGGCGCAGGGAGAAGGCTCGGGTGCGTCGTCGATGTCAGCTGCGACACCACCAATCCCAACAACCCGCTACCCATCTACGACATCAACACGACCTTTGTGGAACCTACAGTAGACGTGCCGCTCAAGTGAGTGAGATTCGCCGATCACGCTCGCTTGACATTGCCAGACTGACTGTTTTCCTCGGCCCATGGCTCGGCAGGGCTGGCGCAGATCCCCTCACCGTCATCTCCATCGACCACCTGCCCACGCTGCTCCCCCGCGAGGCTTCCGAGGGCTTCAGTACTGATCTCCTGCCCTCTTTGCTGCAGCTGCCGTACGTCATCGCGGACAACCCGAAGAGCTCGGAAGCTGGAGCAGGAGTGGAGGAAGGCAAAGGAGCAGTTTGGACAAGAGCAGAGAAGCTATTCAAGCATCATCTAGCAGAGGCAGAAAAGGAAGGAGCATGAAAACCTTTGCGACGCAGCGCATCAGAACAAAGACAGACAAACAATAATGTCATTTTTGTCTCGATAGATTACTCAAGACTGGCGAGGGGTATAGCGGAATTTAAATCGGTCTGATGTGCAGAGTGGGGATCCAAGGATGCTGACTAGGAACCCAAATGAGGTCCTTGACGACGGGTTGCGCTTTTGTCAGATGTGTTTCATCGCGCAGGAGTGAAGAACATTTCGCGAGATTCTCCTCGCAAGACTGTTGAAAAGCGTCTGATAGCGGCAAAATGTCAACAGATTCTGGCGCAGACTTTGCTGTAGCAACCTCAAAATTGTCGGCAGCGCATTTTAGAACCTCGCGGAGCTGATATGCAGAGGGATAATCTGCTTCAGTAAATCTCTTTCTGGCTCTCGTAGCGGCCCTTTTGCACACGTACCTCTGTCCGATGCCAGCTAGCTTCATCGGATAGGAAAACGCCCCATAGCTGAGTCATCTGAGCCTTGGACTGCTGCATTCGGACATTCAATGCTTCGTTACGCCCGTGAACAGCATGGCGATGCACGTTCATCCACTTGAAGCGCATTTCGAAGGTGGCGAAGCGCAGCGCCTCCGCGTTTTCCTCTGCCATGTCGGAGCGCCGAGAGACTCGAGCATGATGAGGTTGGAGCGTCTTTGCTTTTGTAGCTGGTCTGGCGCTCCCAGCATGATCCATATAAATGGCAAGCTGAAGCTCGGCAGTTGCAAGGGAAACATCAGGCTTACAGGCTCGGGATTACAAGCGTCTCGAGCGATCGACTCACCAAGAATAGCCCCTTGCTAGCTGCTTGGAGCCTTTCGCAGGTAGTCAAATCTTGGTCGAGATAGAGCGCAGCGCGCCGCAAAATCTCGCAATCGTCTACGCAGCGAGACGCCAGATTCAGGGTCAAACATCAATCATAGAGCCACTCGATTCACACTTGCTCACCTGCCGGACGTGCTGCCCTCCTTGCTGACACGTCGTCCTTCAGACTTTGCAGGATGTCATGCTGCTCAGTGGCGATGTTGAGGGTCACCCAATGGGCGTAAGCTCGCTCTTGTGGAGCGTAAAGCTCGAGTTCAAACCCAGAAAGGGTGATGTGCAGCATCATGTCCAGACTGACCAGTTGACAGGCCGCAGACAACGCCTCAGGGTGGAACGCTCTGGCGTCCGCCTAGAGCAGTCGATGTCAAGTCAGCGAGAGCAGCCGGGCCAGGAGGGAGCACCTATACTTACTGGGAGAGCGCGTCTGATCTTTTTGCCCAATTCTGCAGCTTCCTCCGAAAGAGGAAGCCAGTCCGCATACGTCTTCGCCAGGCGTCTTTTGCCTCGACTTCTGTTTTGAGCCAGCGCGCCGAGCACGCCAGACAATTGACCGGCCGCCCGCGCAACGAACCACTCCAGGGATTCCAAAATTGGGAGCACATCTGAGGTTCGACTTTCTCGTTCCTTCACCCACCGAGCTGCCTCGACAGTCCCTGCATCCACAATTCCGGATTTGATGCGATCGATCGAATAGCCTGTGGCGCTCTGCACCATATCTTTGAAGAGGAAGGTCAAGGGCTGCTTCCCGAATGCGGCTTCATTGTTGGAGCAGATCAGGGACTGTGTCAAGGTGGCAGAGTGAGCCTGAGGCCGCGTGTGGATGGAGCGATTGGGAGGCAAACAAACGTACATGTAGAGTTGAGCGAATGAATGCCGTGGAAGGCGCGCTCTGGAATTGCAACGCTTGCACACTCATCGCGTTCTGTTCAACGCGCGCTCAAGAAGGGTCAGCGCGCAGGCTACTTTGCGTCTGATTCGCACCGCTCACCTTCCAGCTTCGCCAGGACGGCTCTCTATACATGCCATGCACCGCTCTAAGCCCTGCAACATATTCCTTGAAGAAGATGTAAATCTCTACAGGTGCTGGAAGCTCAACAGGGGCTGGCGGAGGTATTCCGACACGCCTGCCACTACCTGAGACAAGCCGCCTTGCAAAATTCGTGTCGAAAGCAGCTCTTGATTTTTCTGATGGTGCATCGTAAGCTCCTGTCTTGTGGTACGCCAATCGCTGAAGGATCGGGCTACCCTCTGGATGAGAGCCAAATCGTTCATTGACTCCCATTAGCATGTCAAGGACGGTGGGCAGAGCGCTGAGTGCATCATCTGAGCGTTGCAGCTGGGTAGCTTGACGGCCCAATACCCATGAAGCGTCGAGTCTTCGCACGGTGTTTCCATACGCCAGCAGGGCCACGCTATGGAGAAAGAACTAGGGGGCGCGGCCCACGCTCTCGTCAGCTTTGCAGAGTGCTTCAAAATTCTGTCAGAGGCGCAAAAGTAGCTACTCACGAATCGCAGCTCAAGTCTATGCTTCAACGCAACCAGCTGAGTAGTTGAAAGGGCTGCTCCGGGGATAAGCAGGAGTATCACGAATGCGATCTGCGGGTATGAGTAATTGTTTGCACCAAAGCATCAAGGCTGCCTGCGTCTCACCTGCAGTTTTGCCTGTCTCATCATCCCGTGCACCCGAGTCTAGCCATTGAATCGCTTCTTCCAGCTGATCGAGTACGTCACCCACGGGGATATCTTCGGCAATGTGTAGTCCAGCTTTATCACCGAAGTAGTCTTCGCCCTGGCATTTAGAGCAACAAGAGAGCGTCAAGATCGACTGCGATGTAGATGTGCACAGGTGCGGCATGTCTCAACCCACATCGATGACATTGTCCCTGACCAATTCATCCCAGACGAGGTGCATGCTTTTCAGCACACCTAGCAAGAAGGGCCGCAAAACGCAAGACAGTAAGGACGCTTGTGTTGGCAAGCTCGCAGCGAGAGAGATGGGTCTGGACAAGGGCAGATGGTGCATGTATAGGCAGGTGAAGATGGTCTGAGACAGTGGCGCTCCTCTGTGCCAAGCCGCCTGTGGCGCAAGTGTTTCAGCGAGATGGCTTGAGCATAGCAGAGTCAAGACGCGCGACAGTGTTCTCACCTCGCACGCTAACAATCTGTCCATCACCCAACACATTTCCTCGGCCGAGAGCTTCGCAGTGACGTCAAATGGAGGTGTTGTATGATCTTCGCCTAATAACGATAAAGGAGGCCTATCGCACTCTGCTACGAGAGCGTGCGGGACAGGAAAGATGCCGCTGTCCATCCGAGGTTCCATCACCTCGATGGCGCCCATCGAGTCCAGCAGTGCAAAGCCTTCGCTATGCACCAGCGTCTCATTGTCCAAGCCTGCAGAAGCCGAGCAAGTGAGATGATAATGCTTATGCTGAGCAGCATTCCCAATGGCGTCCTCTCCGTTACTCACTACGACAAGCATCACTCAGTTCTCGCGTCACATCGCGGAAGTCTGGCAATCTGATCCTGCTTGTCGCATCAGACTTGGCGTTTTCGCCTTGCATATTGCCCCTCGACCTTCTGCTCCATCTGAAACGCCGACTTGAGAGCTTTGGAATAGGAGTGCTGAGCAGCAGGGTGGCTCCGTTGAAATGCGGAGGTGAGGCAAGAAGAGATGGTCAGCAGGTCGTGTGGGCGAGCGCTTTGCGTTCTTCACGATTTTCAAAGTCGAGTGACAACTTCTCACGTGCAGCTGCTTTGAATGAGGCAAAGTCAAAGGTATGTGCACGTATTTGTGATTATATTCTCAAATATAACGCGCGGATGTGTGCCGAGTCTATCGTACGAGAGTGGCATGCCTGCCTCACCTTCAGTTGCCGCGCTGACGATGTGATCGAGCTATAGCTTCGGCAACAGCATTCAGACTTGCCTTTTAGCGAGTTGCATCTACGACGCTTAACCACACTCGCACCGCACCTCACGACGATGAAAAAGAATGCGCCATGAGTGAAGCCTCGACACTTGACTGAAGGCCCCGCCCTGCATACGGATACCACTGCTGTCACTGGCACCCATCGCGCCGCGTAGCCATAGAATCTCCGCACAGCCACGGCTCACCAATCACAGGGCAA